TAATATTTAGAGAATTCATAAGAAATGAGATAAAGAATTGCAAAAGCTGCCAGCAACACTGTTTTAAAATGAGACCAATGATAAGCACCATTTAAAACCTAATTGACAGGTTCTCTTGAGACACACAGAAAGCATACATAGGCAATGGCTTTAAATGAAAGTGTTTTTTCTTTTCTGATCTTCCACTAATATCAGTGGAAACTGCATAGCTAAAAACCTATATACATATACCTATGATACCTTTTATACCTTACCTGTACAAGTACCTGAAAGCAGAACTGTACTGTCATGGTTTTTCTCTCCTACTGCACCTAAAATGAATTGTTCAAAACTACACAATCTCTGTTAGTGGCTGCTAAAATTTCAGAAAGATTTGGACAGTAAATATTCAGATAAAAACTCTCTTAACACACAAAGTCTTGTGCAACAAACTTCAACAATTAAGAGAAACATAAGCAAGTATCTCCACAAAAAAAAGTAAAATTAAACAGACCTAATGAAATCCAAAGCAAGGAACAAAAAACCCCAAGGCTGCGACACTTTCTTTCTCAGAGAAGGAGGAAACCCTGTGGTATGACAGGGCACGGTCTGCACCATGGCACTACACTGACACAGCACCTGAGCCCTCCCTGCCTCTGCTCAAGTCCTAACTTTCCATAAACACCCGAACTCCAGCATTGGTCCTTACAGGGAAAGGCCATTGGGAAGCGATCACAACTTTTCTGAGCACATGGAGGATGCCACAGCGGAGCAGGAAGATCAGATCTATTATCCTAACTCTGGGAGGGGTTTAAATCCCACAGAAGAATCTTAGGCTGCAGGAAACGCTACCAGTTTGTGTTCAACCTAAGAGATAACAATAAGCACCATGGATTTTCATGCTGTTTTGCTTGAAAATGGTGTAGAATTAAGCCTTCACCAATTTGTTTCTCCCTGCACTCTGCCTGCCCAACAGTCTCCACAACCATACAGCTCTGCTATGCAGGAATTAAAACAAAACAAATGGAAGTGATTCAAAGGGACCACATGAAGCAGAAGCAGCAGGTTTGTTTCTCTTAATCTTTTCTCAAGGTGTACAATCACATACAAGAACAAAACCTCAAGTCAGAACTGGTGAAAGGCCCTTTTGCTCTTTGCTCATACAAGCGCCTACCATCCAGGTTGTTTTGTGTTTGCAGGTCATGCATATGCACAGCTAGAGCAAGGCTTTGTGAGGTTATGACCAAGTGACACAATCTGCATCATGGGGGCTCTACACAGTAGCTTTAGGCTCCTTGGTAAATTCACCTCATCCTCTGCTTCTTTTAAAGGAAAAAACATTAATGCATCATTTGCAAAGCTAACCACAAAAAACTGAAATCTTCTGCTTCAGCATAAAGTAGGATACATAAGGCAAACAATTTTTTTGTCAGAAAAAGAAAGGAAACAAAATCATTGCTGTATTCTCTAGTAGGTTTGGTGACCTGAATCCCCAGACAGTCATCTGGGATCTGGGAGCGAGCTTCCTGTCAGAGCCAGACCCAGCCTGTACACCTCTCAGAGCAGCAGAGATGCTCCCCAAGCATGCACACTAATGGAAGGTTATGGATAACTCAGGATCAAAACAAACCTCTAACCTTAATTTGCTGATACAAAATAGCGATGAAAGGATCAGCTTTTCATGAGAATAGAGAATTGGATTAAAACTTTAAACTAAGGTAAATCTTCTAATTTTAAAAGCCAAGCCAAAATTAAAATCTTAATTCACAAGACGTTAAAATCACAGTAGTTATTAACCTAACTTAAATTAACTGGCTTATTATTATAGAAAGTCATCAAATGTACTTAGCATTCTTTAGAGCCTTCCAGTCAATTAATATAACATGAAATTGAATCAACTCAAGCATCTGGAGACGCAGAACCTAGATTTAAATGAAAACTTCAGCCTCATCTACCTCAGGGTCTGAAAATTTGGGATCACCTACCACATTTTCTCCATTGCAACAGGCACAAACCCTCGTTTATATCCCATATCAAATATACCCAGGAACAAA